AAAAATTTACGGCTTTAAAATTATGGTTTGTCTGAGCAATAACGATTTTATAGAATAGCTTTCATTTAATTTCATACTTTTCGAGGTGTGGTGGAGAAAATAGGGATGATGACATGCTAAGAGAAAATGTCACGTGGGTCACACTAGTAAAAATTCTGGATTTTTATTAATACTGCCTTGTTGAATTAAGAACTTCAACTTGTATACTATTAAAATATGGATTATTAGTTAAGATTTTATGCTATTTTAATTGTCATAATATAAACAAAAAGTAGTTTAATAAAATTTTGAATGTAAGACCCTAAAACCTTGTGTCATGCGCAGTAAAGGATACCCGTGACGATAGGGTTAAGCAGAAGGTGTGTGAAGGGTAAGAAGTTCCATACCTTTTCAGAGATGCCAAGTAGACTCTACCATTTTCCATATACTAATTTTTTTCTTGGGTATGGGTACTTTCCTGTTTTCATGATTAGGGTTTAGAAATTAAATATTTATAAAACAATGCTCTGAAAAAGTATCTGGACATGCAGTTGTAAAGGGGATCCTAGTGACAACTGTCCAAATACAGTTTTAGCATGAATCAAAGCTGCATTTTGCAAGACATGCTTTTCACTATTTACACAGGTGTCTAGAGCAGTTTGTTTATATATTTATATTTCATAATCTTGGCCAGTTAATACATGTTGGAAGGCTATGTTCCAACACTGAATGAATTCCACATAATGGTTCCAGAGATGTTCTAAGGGGCCAAGGATTGAACTCTTAAGTAATCCATTCCAAGATGTTGATCTTTTGAAACTAAAAGTGGGTTGTATGTGCTTTATAGCAAAGAGTGTTATCCTGCTAGAACTGCACGTTGGCTTGCTAATCAACAAGTTCATTCATAACCACTATAATGTGATATTTTATCTCTTATTGTCTTTGTTTTAGTACTTCAAAGATAAATCTTAGACCCAATGTACAGAATATTCTCCAATTCCCCCATCACAGTTGGCACAAAGTGATTGCGGTTGAAATGTACAGTGATGAATCATAAGGAGTTATTAAAAACAGCCAGTACATTAAGTATAATAAAGGAGAGTAGAGATACCCACTTAGACTTAAAACAAACTGACTCTGTACGTACATCCCAATGCTGGTTAAATCCACACAAAATACATTATTCCCATATTGAAAACTATGAAGTGGAAAATGCCTCGCTATTAAAGTTGTTTTTTTTCTCATTCCTGAGAATCATATTTTGTATGATACAGATACAAGATACCAAAATTTTACCGTGCTGATAGTTTTTAATCAAATATGCACAAGCCAGTTGTGTGTTCCTGTTTTTACTTGAAACACTGTTATAAATTTAGTGTTTGTTTAAAAATGTTTACTTAGTCATTTCTCTGTATCTTTTTTAATGACATTTTTAAGGTATTGTCAATGACACTTGTATGCATTATTTTTTATGAAGCTAACGTATTTTAAACCATTAGTTTCTTGATTGTTAATGGATTTTTGTACTTATAATTGCTTTTTTTTTTGATAGATGGGAAGTATAAAAAGATTAGTGCCAAGATTAAAGTCTGTGAGTTTCAAACTCAATTTTGCTGAAAAAGTTCAAGATATCAAACCAGTAAGGAAGTTTTGTTTTCTAACTGTATTCATAAATGTCACAATGTAGTAATTTATGGATTAAAGTAATGTAACCTCATGAACCAAAACTGTTACCACAGAAGTTTCAACATCATATTCTTTCTTAGGTTTATTCTCAAAGGATATATTCTCATACATTTACTTTAAAATTAGTTAAAGTAATAGAAAATTTTACATGTAATATGTAGTTTTTTTTTTAAATAGTTTAATAATTTAAATTCTTTGTAATTTCATTATGTATGTTTTAATTAAGTTTCTTTCTAAAGGACATTGTAGCTGCCACAGCAGCTTGTGAAGAAGTCAAGACCAGTGAAAAGTTTTCCTTAATTCTCAAGTTGGTGCTTCTTATTGGTAACATCATGAACTCAGGCTCTAAGAATGGACAGGCAATTGGTTTTGAAGTTAGTTTTCTACCAAAGGTAAATGTTTCAGAAATGCTTAACATACTTAATTTCTGTTTTAATTCAAAACAATAATAATAGTAAAAGCACAAACCAAAAGTAATAAACGAAGTACATGGTTTCTAACTACAAGATAATATGGTAATATATTTCTAAATTCTTAAGCATGTTAGTAGTAATTAAGAAAGCTTCTTCATTCCCATTTCTAAAATAGGATCAATAAGTAAGTAGGTGAGGTACTTTATCAAACTACAACACACATACAAGGTAAAGGTTTATTTTTATTGTTATCATAATATGGTAGATTATTATTATTAAGGAAGTCATCAAACTTTTGATCAAGTTTTAAAGGATGTAGACTTAAGACTGTAGCTGGTCTTTCAAACTTCGAAGGTATGCAAAATGTAAATAAATTTGTATATAAATTTATTTTTTCTTAAAAGAACATAACCAAGATGCCTATTTCACAGTTGATCACATTAATTTCAAACACTGTTCATTTCTAGTGTCACAACAAAAACTTAATTTACAGACACTTGTTTGTTAATATGAACAAGCCAAGACATATTTGAAAAATTAAAATCATTTAATTTCTTTCCATATTATTTTAGTTGAAGCAGCATAACAAATAACAGTACATCGCATTAACTTATTTTGCTTTAGTGCAAAATGATGTTGACAAAGTAAAAGCACATTAGATACATTGAGGTAACTTTTAATTAATATTCGTATGCTCACACAAATTTAAATTATTTTTTAATTAAAATACGGCATGTCCCTTTCGTATTTTTGATATTATTGCTTCATTAAGTAACGCACTTATCTCAAAATAAAAAAAATAATAATCTTTTACTTTAAAATACTCAATGCCTATGATTTTTTTTCATTAAAATTTTTGTATCATAGATTTTGATGTTCTCCCATGTTAAACGTATTTGATGTGGGCTTTTCAAATATATAATTTTTTCAACAAAAGTTCCTACCTCATTTATTTATGTATCAAAATACACACTAAACACCAAATTTAAAAATTCTTTATTTTCATGAAATTACCTAAGGCCTTCATATTTTCGAAAAAATATTTGTATCATATGTTTTAGTCTCCTTCAAGAGGAATTATGCATTCGATACATCTTTTTTCAAAAATAGAATTTTATTGTCAAAATTCTCATATTTCAAGCTTTACGATTTTTATGAAAATTTTGACCATTTTCGATTTCACTTTCTTCTTTGCGAGCATTTAAACAGGGATTTTCAGTATTTTTTCATCATATTTTTCAAATATTAAAGTTTTTTGCTTACTTCTAAAACTATTATAATCTTTTGGTTATTCTATTTTTTAAAGAAAGATGCACTTGATTTAGGGATTGGGAAAAGATATATTGTTTTTATCAAACTCTAAGTCACTAAATTTTGTTGTTTATCACAGATTTTTTTTGGCCATCTGAAATTGATATTATTGCTGCATTAAGTAACACACTTATCTCAAAATTTAAAAAAAACATCTTTTTACTATTGTAAAGACTACTAAATGAAACTTGCCTTATAAACACATTAAGTAATGTTTTACTGATAAGCCTTTTTGAATTCTTAGTTACAGCTAAACCACCCAGTGGCTCGGTGGTAAGTCTGAAAGCTTTTTATGCTAAAAATCAAGCTTCAATATTCATGGTGGGCACAGCACAGATAGCTGCAGGTAATCTAATACAAACACTTTTCAAATGGCAGGCTCATTTCTTCGAAATATAGCTGCACAAACTGCTCCCAAGTAGCAGAAATATGAGTAGTTAAATCTTTTTGTTTATATTATTTCATAGTGCAATTTAACATTGTTATGCAGTAACATTAAATTATTTTCTAATACATGTTTTGTAAGATAATATATTATCTAACAGAGATATTTGTTAAATGTCCTTTTTATTTATGTTACAAATTCGTCCAAAGAGTGGCATTTCGTAGTGTTTAGAATTACCAGCGAGGGTAAATATGGTCAACTATAATTAATGTTATATTAAATTCTGTAAAGAACATGCTAGACTATTTATAAGAGAGAAATCACTCAAGTTTTAGTGAACCAAAAGAGTTATTGTTTATTACTATTTAGGCTTGGTGAATTAGGTTAATGTAATTTCAGTTCAATGAGGCTCGGCATGGCCAGGTGGATAAGGCACTCGACTCGCAATCTGAAGGTCGTGGGTTCGAATCCCCGTCCCACCAAACATGCTTGCTGTGAGAGCATTATAATGTGACGGTCAATCCCACTATTCGTTGGTAAAAGAGTAGCCCAAGAGTTGGCGGTGGGTGGTGATGACTAGCTGCCTTCCCTCTAGTCTTACACTGCTAAATTAGGGACGGCTAGCACAGATAGCCCTCGTGTAGCTTTGCACTAAATTCAAAAACAAACAGTTCAATGAGCATGAAGTTGAAAGCCTGATGTACAATAGTGTGATAGAAAATTGAAATTAACAGATTGGTAATAGATTTGAGATGTTTGTAGACACTGTGAAAAGGTGTTGTGTTTTGTTACAAGCTGAGCAAAACCTTTTTTCTAAGTCAAATAAAAACCAAATGCAACTGAAGGTACTCTATTATTTTTGTTTTAAAACTGTTTATTTCCAAGAACCACCATTATCATTTCATTTTTTATTATGCTGAAAACTTCTATTCGTGACTATAGAATGGTAAGTTATGCAGCATTTTATATGATAAAAAATTTTGTCAGTAAAGTAAAAAAAAATTCATTAGTGTTTTCTCCACTGAAAGTGACTCCTAAAAAAAATGAATGTTATTTGGGAATTTTTAGGGAATTTGTCATTTAAAAGATAGGTACAGCATTTAAATTTCTAATAAATATCATAAAAGATGTCCAAAAGAACATGATTCTACAAAGACTTATATTTCTGACATTTTACTGCCAGCCAATAAATGTTTATCTGCGAGTTGCCTCTCAATAGCCAAGATGATTGGTGCTGCAAGTTTATGTGGGCTTTACATAATTCTATGTCACACAGAAAAGATAACCTGATTGGTTCACCCTCAAAGTCTTGTAAACATTAATTTGCACAAGAAATCCATGTATGTAACTTGTTTATGTCTAAAATGTATAACATGCACAAAACTGAAAATTGAATCGCACATTTTCTTGGGGCAAGGTGGCACTCGACTCTCACTGGGGGCTACGCTCCTATCAGGAATTTGTTGCTTGCCCCTACATGTCAGAAATATTTGACAACCCCCTACTCTTAAACATGCACTCATGCTAAGATTAGTCTTGAGTTGATAAGTAAGGTTAACATTTGACTTTTTCTCACCTCAGTTTACTTATTCATGT